GCATCACCCGCCGAAAAGAGGCCGGCGTAGAGCAGCACGTTGGTGGGCCACGGGTAGCGCCGTGCTGCGCGTGGAAACACACGCCACCAGCTCGCCATACTCGCTGGGATGCCTTCCACGCCTGCACACCTGACTTAGCCGCAGGCGCCAAAGCGATTGGAGTCCACTGTGCACACCCAACCCGCACGCCCAATCCCGTGATGGCTGGCCACTGGGAGGGCGGAGCCTCTGAGATGTGCGGAGTCCACCGGGTTCGGACAATTTCCAAGAAATCTCCAGAAGGCGGAGAGGTACTCAGGAAGCAGATCTGTGGTTCCTAAAGGCCGGGCATTTTAAGAACAGTGGCTGTTACCGGGCATTGAAGATAACCTCACGGCTTTGTGAATATTGAAAAAACAAAACAAAACAAAAAACACAAAAAAACAGTGGCTCCTACACTTTAGGATCAGGGTTTGTTTGTTTGTTTGTTTGAAACAGGGTCTCAAGCCGGGCGGTGGTGGCGCACGCCTTGGATCCCAGCACTCGTGAGGCAGAGGCAGACGGATCTCGGTGCGTTTGAGACCAGCCTGGTCTATAGGATGACTTTGAACTCCCATCCTCCTGCTTACACCTCCCAAATTCTGGGATTACAGGTTTGTGTCACGGGGTCCAACGGAAAGTGGTAAATTTTGTGATCCGTGAATCCTATTTCTAAAGGGGGGGAGGTGGCTGATGTGAAGCTCTGTAGCAGTGATTACCTAGCATGCAGAAGGCCCCGGCTTCAATTCCCCACTATTGCAATAAAACTGAGGAAAGAAAGCTAGCTCAGCTACCAAAGTGCCATGTACTTGAGATGCTTGCATTCAGAGACTTCATTCTTTTAACCACACAATACATTGCTTTTTATGTCACTATCGGCCAGATGTCAGAGGTCAGGCTGAGGTCTTTCATGAATGAAATAGCGCTGGATCATCGATTACCCTCCCCATTTCAGCTTGTGTCTCAGTGACCCCTGTCACCCCAAAACATGCTTGGACACCCATGGTACCCATTCCAAAAGCAAGGCTGGATGGGCGTTTGGGCAACAGATAGAAGTCCTGACTTTGTGCAACTCATTTTCCCCATGCCTTTTCCTGCCTTTCCCTCCTCCCATGATACTCAGCCTCTCTCATCCAGTATCTCCCCTCTCTGTCTTCTGTTTGTTCCCCATGTTTAATTTTTCTCTCTTTAAAAAAAAAAACTCTAGTACCTTTTAAAGGATATTTTCTTATATTTATTTTTTATGATTTATTTTTATTTTATGTGTATGGGTGTTTTGTCTGCACATCAATATCACTCCAGGTGCCCACAGAGTTACACACCATGATCAGCTGCCATGCGAGTGCTGGGAATTTAACCTGGGCCCTTGAGTGGCGGAGGTCAGTTCTCTCCTTCCATTGGTAAGTCCTGGGGATTGCATTCAGTTAGTCAGGCTTGGAGGCAAGTGCCTTCATCTACTAAATCCTCTCAACAACCCAGTGTTATAATTTTGAAATAATTCCAGACTTAGGAAAAAATGCAGCAGAATTATACAAAGGAAGCTGAATGTGATGGTAGTCTTGTCATCCCTGCACTTGGAGAGAGAGCTGCTGAGGCAGACTGCCCAGAGTTTAGGGCCACCCTAGGCTGTATAATAAGACCCCATCTGAAAAAAAAGAGCAAGAAAACAAAAAATGCAAAGAATTCTCATATACTCTTGTTCATTTGTTTTGTTTTGTTTGAGTCCAGAGCTCATGTAGCCTAGTCTAGTGTCAACTTCCTAATCCTCCTGTTTCTGCCCCCTAAGAACTAAGGTTACAGGCTTGTGTCACAATGCCCAGACACTTTATACTCTTTACTCAATCCTCCCCCAAGTGTTGACATCTTGCATAACCATAGTACAATTATCAAAACAAGGAAATAAGAGCTGATGTAATAGTTACCCATTTACATGCCAACCTTACTTAAGCTGGTGCCAGAAAGTCCCTTTCTCTCATCCAACAACCAATCCTGAGCTTCTGTACTGTTGTTTTACTTTGGTCCCAATCTGAACCATAGACCAGTTCTCTCAAAGACTGTCCCTAATTATAAGTCATTTTTTTTATAAGCTGAATGACCTCCTACCCTGATTTATACATTGAAGCCCTAACTCTTGGTACTTCAGAATGTGACTGTATTTGGAGACAAAGACTTTAAAGAAGTGACCCAGTTACAATGAGTCTATAAGGTAGGCAATACAATCTGTATTGTGTCTTCAAAAGAGGGAATGGACTCAGTGACAGAAACCATTGTGGATTCACACAGAAGAAAAACTAAGGGTGAGGACATGGTAAGAAGGTGGCTGGCCGATGGGCGTTGGTGGCACACACCTTTAATCCCAGCACTTGGGAGGCAGAGACAGGTGAGTTTAATACCAGCTTGGCCTACTGAACGAGTTCTAGGATAGCCTGCAAAACTACAGAGAAACCCTGTATTGCAAAACAAAAACGAAAAAAGAAAGTGGCTGGCTATTTGGACTGGTTGTGGCGCCCTTGCTTATATTTCTAGCACTTGAGAGGTGGAGGCATAAGGGTCAAGAGTTCAAGATTAGTACCAACTACACAGTGAGTGAGTTTGAGGCCAGCCTGGACTATATAGACTATGACTTTAAAAAACAAAATGGCAGCAAGAGGGCAGAGGGGTAAAGAAACTTTACTTCAATTTCCAGAACACACATGGTGGAAGGAGGAGTTTGATTCCTACAAATTGTCTTATGACCTTCCCGCATGCCATGCCATGTGCACTTGTGTATACATACACACAGAAAGAAAGACACAGACAGAGATGTGGAGGAGTAAAAACTAAAAAGGAAGGAGAGGGAAACTGAAAGGAAAGGTAGTAGTCTGTGTCTATAAGCCAAAGAAAAGAGTCAGAATAGAGCTAGACTTGACCTTGGCCTTCTAGCTCCCTGAACTGTAAGAAAAATATGTTTCTACTGGACCAATCGGCAATATTATTATCACAGTGAACACAAAGGAATTAATCTTTCCTCTTCAGCTCCTGAGACTGTGCCAGTGTCTGTGTGCTTTGACTTTCCATACTGCCCACATACCAGTTTCTAGGGCTCTCATTGTTCTGCCACTGGTCCCAAGTGAAGCTGTCAGGTTTCCCCCATCTAGGCAAGCTTTTAGCTCAGCAGCATATCTGTTTATTGCTTATACCTGTTCCAATTATGGTTTCTATTGTGTGATGAAACACCAAGACCAAAAAGCAAGTTGGGGAATTTCTTAATTTGGGTTTCTATTGATGTAAAGAGACGCACGCCATCCACCACAGCAACTCTTATAAAGGAAAACATTTAATTGGGGCTGGCTTACAGTTTCAGAGGTTTAGTCCCATTATGGTCAACAGAATCACCACTAGGTGAAGGAAGAAATAAACAAAGAAATTAGACTTCCTTAACTTCAATGAAAATGACAACACAGTATACCTTAAGTTATGGGACACAATGAAAGCAGTGCCAAGAGGAAAGTTCATCGCACTAAATGCCTGCATGAAGAAGGTTGAGAAATCCTACACTAGTGGATTATCACAACAACTGAATGATCTAGAACTAAAAGAAGCAAACTCACCCAGCAGGAGTAGACAGCTAGAAATAAATTAAGGCTGAAATCAATAAAATGGAAGTAAAAAAAAAACAATACAAAGAATCAATAAGACAAAGACTTGGTTCTTCAAGAAAATCAACAAGATAGACAAGCCTTTATCCATACCAACCAAAAGGCAGAGAGAGAATATTCAAATTAACAAAATCAGGAAAGAAAAGGGGGACATAGCAACAGACACTGAGGAAATCCAGAGAATCATCAGGTCACACTTCAAAAACCTGTACTTCACAAAATTGGAAAATTTAAAGAAAATGGACAATTTTCTAGATAAGTACCACATACCAAAGTTAACTCAAGACCAGATAAACAAATTAAATAGACCTATAAGCCCTATGGAAATAGAAACAATCATCAAAGTCTCCCAACCAAAAAAAAAAAAAAAAAAAAAAAAAAAACCCAGGGCCAGATGGTTTCAGTGCAGAATTCTGCCAGAATTTCAAAGAACTAATGCCAATACTCCTGAAATTGTTCCACACAAAAGAAACAGAATGAGCAGTGCCAAACTCTTTTTATGAGGCTACAATTACCTTGGTACCCAAGCCACACAAAGACACAATTAAGACAGAGAACTACAGACCAATCTCCCTCGTGAACATCAATGCAAAAATACTCAATAAAATACTGGCAAAGTGAGTCAGAAAAGTATCCACCATGACCAAGTGGGATTCATCCCAGAGATGCAGGGATGGTTCAAATACACAATTCTGTCAATGTAATTCACCATATAAACAAACTGAAAGAAAAAAATATGATCATCTCATTAGATGCTGAAAAAGCCTTTGATAAAATTCAACACCCCTTCATGATAAAGGTCTTGGAGAGAGCAGGAATACAAGGAACATACCAAATATAATAAAGGGAATATGCAGCAAGCCAATGGCCAACATCAAACTAAATGGAGAGAAACTCAAAGCAAGCCCACTGAAATCAGGAACAAGACAAGAGGGCTCCACTCTCTCCATATCTATTCAATATAGTAATACAAGTTCTAGCTAAAGCAATAAGACAACAAAAGATCAAGGGGATACAAATTGGAAAGGAAGAAGTCAAACTTTTGCTGTAGTCGATAATATGATAGTATAAGTAAGTGACCCCAAAAATTCTACCAGAGAACTACTACAACTGATAAACACCTTCAGTAATGCAGCAGGATACAAGATTAACTAAAAAAAAAAAAATCAGTAGTCCTCCTATATACAAATGTTAAACAGGCTGAGAAAGAAATCAGAGAAACAACACCCTTTACAATAGCTACAAATATAAAATATCTTGGGGTTACTCTAATCAAACAAATGAAAGGCCTGTATAATAAGAACTTTAAGTCTTTGAAGAAAGAAGACGTTAGAAAATGGAAAAATCTCCCATGCTCTTGGATAGATAAGATTAACACAGTAAAAATGGCAGTCTTACCAAAAGCAATCTACAGATTCAATGTAATCCCATCAAAATCCCAGCACAATTCTTCACAGACCTGGAAAGAACAATACTAAACTTCATACAGAAAAGCAAAAAACCCACAATAGACAAAAAAGGTCCTGTTCAATAAAGGAACTTCTGGAGGCATCACCATATGTGACTTCAAACTACTATAGAGCTACAGTAATGAAAACAGCTTAGTATTGGCATATAAACAGAGAGATGGACCTATT